GATTTAAATTATAATCCTTTTAAATTAATAAAATAAATATTTTAAAACAGCCTGTCATATTGACTATTATTGTATGAAGCCAAATTAGAAAAAAAATATTTTTACTGAGTCCCTGAACTTTTAATTCCAAAAATATTTAAGATAACTGAAATAAACAAGCTACAATAAGGATTATGTCATTCAGTTTAAACTATATTGCTTCAGGAATGTAATTTACTGCAATAAGATGTTCAAAATCGTTTTGATTTTTTGGGCAGACTCAGTGCAACAAATTCACACAAGCATAAACAATTGTGCTGCAGCTSACAGGGTTGCTGAGTAATGCTCTTCTAAATGCTGTTTGTGCACTTAGTCTTAATGCAAACTCACCCTAAACAACACGATGCCACGTTTTATATTTGTGTTAACAAAAGCTAAAATGTAAAGTTTTGAAATATGCTTTAGGTTTTGATGGCTTTTACTGTATATTGACTGTAAATTAGGTCACTGGCCTTGAATCACAGTCACTGAGGAGCTGTATTGATTTTGAGACTTGACTGTGGCTTTTAAAAAAAACAAAAGAATGTAGCAGGAATCACAGCATTACTTTCAAATGCATAAATCTGGATTCATACTCTGCTGCTTTCTCTCAAGTCAAGCATTTGTTCAGCAAAATGATCTTCTTGAGCAAACGTACATGTGTGCAAATATGAGCTGCAGATAATTTGCGAGATAGAAGATTAAAAAGCTTCATATTCATGACATCAAATACAGATGTCATAAAAGGAAAAAAAATCCAGCAAAAAAAATGAGCAGAATCAGTTTTATCTTAGTAGCAGATCCTAATTGGGTTTGAAAATATAAAGAGGCTCTCATCTGACAAACAGCCATGCAGAGAAAAGCTGTGAACTGGTAGTAAAAACAGCCAGACAGAGATGGGTAACTGCAGTAAACACTTGGCTTCTGAGGAAATTGCTGACCTTATTTAAAGGCACATGTCAGACTTTTACCATTTCTTCACTGCAGCACTCAAACCTTCCCTTTGATCCTGAGATTCTCCATTACTCTCCAGATTAAAACAAAACTGAGCCAAGTAGAAATGCAGAGGTTAACTTACAGCTATGATGATGATGATGATGATGATGATGAAGTGTGCTGCATGAAAGCTAAACATACCACTATTTCTGTCAACATCTGAAGTTTGGTTTGTTTTTGGTTTTACAGTTAAGTTTTATTCTGACATAAATATTCCTCTATTCATCTTGCCATGCTCACACTMACTCCCACCTGTTCCCATTCTTTGCAAAAAAAAAAAAACCCATTTGACTTAATGCATACTTAATTCAGAAAAAAGAACAAAAGACAAACAGATGAATCACTGAAAATATGTCTGTTTGCATAATAAAACCWCTGAGAAGTCTGTAGCTTTCTGTTCTTCAACATAAAAGTCTGAAACAACACGGGTAAGTTTTGTTAACCCCAAAAGGGAAGTTGTAACTTCACTTTTTTTAATTTAAGTAAGTAAGTAAATAAGTAAAGTTTATTTATATAGCACCTTTCTTAGATATATCACAAAGCGCTTCACATAAAATAAAATAAAAACAATAAAGTAAATTAGTAAATCAAAACATCACCACAGCATTACATTCATACATACGGAGTCCGCGAGGGAACATGGGGAGATTTTTATTCTTTTGCATTCCCACACAATAGTAATGCATTAACTCACAATTTTTTTGCATTACCTCGCAAAATTGTTTTGCGTTCCCATGCAAAAGATTGTTTAGTATATGAACTGAATTAAATCAGACTTTTATTTTGAAATATCCAGTAACCAAAACAGGATGTGTCGCCACAAGTTTGCGAAATTGACATTGATGTTGCATGGCTACACTGTTAAAATATCAGCATATGACATACTTCCATGCGTAGTTGTGTGATATATTCATTCTRAAGCTGAATTAAAGCAGTAGGCTAACTCACTAATGGTAAACATGTGAGTTTGTTAATAAACCCGCAGGCACAACAGTGATAAACTACATTTGCGAGGGAACGCAAAAGTATTGCAAAGTAACGCAATACTATTGCGTGGGAACGCAAAAGAAAAAAAAATCTCCCATGTCCCCTCGCGGGCTCCGTACACACAAGAGTACAAGTAGTAAAAAAATAAAATAAATAAATAAACGTTAGCTAAAAGCCTGCTTGTAAAAGAAAGTTTTCAGATGTTTTTTTAAAAGCATCAATAGGATCAAGGCTGCGTATAGGTTACACAACTTTCCAGCCATGTTCATACGTTTATTCTCTGAGCGACATCTCATTGTGCCCACTGACAGTTTAAAAGCAAGAAAATTTAGTGCTGAAGTGCTTTTTATGTCCACAAACCTGTTTGTTTTTATTTATGACATTTTATCTGCTTTTCATGTTGAACCAAATTTTATAGAATAACAGATTTGTAATGCACATTATAAAACCTACCTTATATCCTAATATGCATTGTGGGTTTGGGATTTGAAAACTAAGATAAAAATGTAACATTAAGCATCTAAATTATACCCACTGCACTTTATTTTTGTCTGTTTGACCGTATGTGTGTGTCTATGTGATTTTAGTTACATTCCAGAAAGCCACCCCGCTGGCCTACTTTGGAGCACTACAAACCGTGGCTGTGTAGCACTGATTATAACCAGGGTCATTGTTATTCTTTACACCCTGCGGCAGAGAAAACTCCCTGATCCTCCACTCGCAGAAGTACYGGCACTCACTGGATGGGTTCAACCCCTCAAACTGCTGCGATCGTCGTTCCACCTCCGGACCGTATAAAACGCACTTCTGTCGCTTCTCACAACCAACAACAAGCGCCTTTGAAAGTAACGGGTGGGCGAAGTGCACATGCCAGATATTCTTGTTGTGTGGGACAAAATACCCTTACATGGAAAATGATTTAWATCAGGCCAAGAAACAGGGGAGCTGTGACTGCATTGTTTGAACATGACTGTACAAGGAAATGTTTACAGATTGTTTTTGCAAAAGAAGACATAATATGGAAAATTTACAGCATTTCTCTTAAAGTAGTCATTAGTAGAATTGCCCATCTTTTGCAATAAACCTAAATTTATAAATAAAAATCACAAAAAAATAGAAAACCACAGCATCTAAATTGAAAACATAAATAAATGTTAAATTGAGTTTCCAGAAACAAGTTTTCTAGGCAGAGAACTCCAGTACATTGCTTTCATTCTGTCGTTTTGATTCATGACTCTGGTATTATTCAGACAAGAGCTCAGCCATAATGAGTCCTTACATGAGCTCCATCTGTGGTTTCATTTTGAGCTGAATCAGAGGAATTACTGTAGTAACAAGACATTAGAATTCACCGACATCTATTTTCTTTTATGTGTGTTTTTGCTTTCCTCGGCCACCCTGTTGGTTTCAATCAGTGCTTTGTTTTTCACCCCCGACATTTCTCCTTATTGAATCTCTGTCTTATTGACCAACAAACCAAACTAAATGCACAAGGGAAGCAATGGGTTTCTTTGCCACACAATCTTGGAAAATCATTAAAAAAAACTTCATTCAATAATATTGCAGGAAAGCATTATGAGCTATAAATGGTAGCAAATGCTCAGTAAGACATATGTGCTGTGTTTTTCATTTGAAGGCAGACAAACGTCAGCTTTGCTTGTAAAACAAGTGTAAGATTTTACTCAGTGGGCTTGTGAATGTAATGTTTTTTTCTGTTTTTATGGTTTATTTAGTGAAGAGTTTGAAACACAAACCTTAAAAATTAATCTCATAAATTCACATGAAGGCTGAATCATCTTGAAAACAGAAAACATAAAGCTGGGTAATAACTACAAAGGTCRTTGGAATGTCACAAAAAGCAAAAACAAAAGGCAAACCAAACCATAACAGAGACCCAAAAAATCCAAATCATGACACTACAGCTTTTGTCGTTCACCCTTACAACTCCAGATCTTCATGACTTCACCTTTTGTCTCATTATTTTAAATTGATTTTTTGTTTTGTTTTTAGAAGCCTGTTTAATGAGTTGAGGTTCACACTGTCTACAAGTAAACTGAAAGTAAGAAAAAGCTGAGATTTTACAGAACTAAATGTAAAAATAAAGCCTCAGTGGAGGTGTGTGCTGTTCATGTACCCTTTTAGTTGAAATTGTTTTATTAGCAAAATAACATCCATGTTTAGACTTTCATCTCTCCCCCTCTGAACACAGACTGTAGTTACAAAGAATAACCTCATAATTTCATAAAAAAAAAATGGACTGCTATAATCTTCACATCATTCACTGCCACCATTAGGTTTTTCACTTCTATCAGAAACAGTCGGTCTGGGCTGAAAAGAACACAATGATGTTGTCTGTAAGG